CTGTGAGGGTGACAGAGCCCCAGCACAGGCTGCCCAGGGAGTTGTGGAGTCTCCTTCTCTGGAGGCTTTCAAAACCTGCCTGGACACCTTCCTGTGTACCCTGCCCTAGGTGAACCTGCTTGGGCAAAGGGGGTTGGGCTAGGTGACCTCCAGAGGTCCCTTCCAACCCCTGCCATGCTGGGGTTCTGTGATCTTCTCATCCCTTGCTCTCATAGAGCTGGGGGGCAGGGACCACACAAAATCCCAGAGCCTTTGCCAGGGAGACCTTTGCCCTTGCTGCTGAGGAGTGGGCAGGTGGGTTTGTGTTGGCAGCAGCTCAGGAGCTGGCAGCACAGAGCAGACCTGTGTCTGTGGGCAGGTCCTGCCTGCCCCGGGCCTGGGCTGCTGCCCGGGACACTGACACCCCGAGGCAGCTGGCACTGGGGGGCTGCCCCCCACCCTTGGCACTGCCAGCAGGGCATGGATCAGCTCTGCTGCCATGGCACAGAGGATGGGGTCGACTTGTAGAGAGCTGCTCTTGAAAAAAAGCCACCTGGGGCTGAGGGGTGAGGGTCTAGTGTAGAAAGGCTCGTGCTGCATTTCTTCTGTCTTTCTCACAGGCCCTGTGAGAATAGTTGTGCCTTGCCCATGTGCTTAATTAAAGCTTAATTCATTAAAAATCAAGAGGAGGAGTCAAAGCATTCAGTGTGACACCCCGGCGCGTGCCACGGGTTAGCTCCTGCCTTCAGAAGATCTCAGCAGCAGGACTGAGGAGAGCCAGGAAGGGAGGCTGCAGCTGCTGAGAAGCTCTGAGGAGCCCAGGGTGGCAGCTGAGGGCAGCGAGAGGCCGGGGCTGTGCCACTTGGTGCCCTGGGCTGCTGCCCCCAGGGTGTGCGGGGAGGAGGAAGATGCTCCAGTAGATGAAAGCCTTGGAGAGGGGAGCTGGGAGCTGCCAGGGTGGAAGGCTGTAAATAGGGCAGCAATGCACACGGGAGGGGTTGTTCTTCCATCCCAGGAGCCAGCCTGGGCCTCTCTGCGACCGGTAACGAAGGGAAATTCAGGGGAACTCAAAGGACCAGCTAACGAGGGTGCCCTTCACCCCTGCCTGTGGCTCGGGCTCTTTGTGACTCTTGTTTGTCC